TCTCCCTTCCTCTCTCTAAAATCAACAAAAACATTTTAGAGAGAGAGAACAGGAAAGAAAGAAATGTGCTGCAGTGAGGAACAGCTGGAGGGAGTGTGTGGGTTTTTTGTTTTGTTTTGTGAATCCTCACCCAAGGATATTTTTTCCATTGATTTTTAGAGAAAGAGGAAGGGAAGGGGAGAGACAGAAAGAGAGAAACATCGATGTGAGAGAGACACATCAATTGGTTACCTCCTGCACACGACCTGACCGGGGCTGGGGATCCAGCCTGCAACCAAGGTCTGTGCCCCTGACGGGAATTGAACCCAGGACCCTTCAGTTCGAGTGGGCCAACGCTCTAACAACTGAGCCAAACTGGCTAGGGCTTTGTTTTGTTTTTTTTAAGATGGATAAATAACACATGCATTTATGCTGATGTAAAGAATCCAGCAGAGAAGAAGATATTGGTGATGTAGGAGATGTAGAAGAGAGGAGAAATGCTGGCAATGTGTCCCTGAGCAGGCAGGCAGGCACGGGAGTTCAGAGGCTGGAGAAAAACAGCATTGGATTGAGCCCTGGTACAGAGTCAGGGCTGAGTGCCCCCGGCACTGGCCCTGGATGACAACTAGGAAGATGCCTTTGATAGGGGACAGACCAGGGATTGGCTTGGATTTACTAAAATTTCTCTTTGACCCCTAAGAGCTGATTCTAAATTAGATTTGAACAGATGGTCCAGTGGAGAGAGAGCATTCCAGGTGGAAAGACTAGCATAAGCAAGGGGCATGCAGGCACTCAAACTGAGGCCTAATGGGCTCGAGGGGGTGAGAGGGGAAGGGGGACTGAGAAATGCTACAGATAGGAGGCAGGTAGAAGGTAGTGAGACCCCCTCACCCATCAGCTTGGCCGCTGAGGCTACATTCTACCAGCTTCCAGCCTAGGCGGGTGCTGAGCACAGGGATTAGAATCACGAGTAGGGGTTCAGGCCTGCTTGCAGGAGCTCACAGGCTGAAGGTGTTCCAGGGACCATCCATAGACTCTTCCCCCGGATTTCTCCCAGTCCAGCTTGCTTTGGTGAGCCTGCTGGAGGGAATGGACACTGGGGTAGGTGGGGCGAGGGGGCAGCTACCCAGACCCCTGCAACCCAGCAAGGGCAGTGTAGAGTACAGGGCTTGCTGGTCCTCAGGCCACATCCACTCATGCTGGCCTCCACATGCCCTTCTGTGTCCCCAGAAGTCAACAGTGTGGGGAGTTGGAGTGGCCCAGCTGGATGTGACCCCCAGAACAGAATGGTGCTGGACTCAGGGGCTCAGGTGTATGGGCAGCCACCCCCCAGCCCACCAGCCAGGCGCTCAACGTTGGGCCGTAGGCCGAAGCCCTCAGACCGAGATGGAACACCGCTGTACCCCTGGCCTCGGTCCCTGGCCTTGCCCCTGGCTCTGTCGGTCTCCTCAGCCCTGCGGCCACGGCCTGAGCTGCAGTCCCTCTCAGAGCTGCGCTTGGGCCACTGTGGCCACATGCGTCGCAGTGAGAGCACCTACACCGTAAATAGTACTGGCCGACTCAGGGGTGGCACCCAGAGTCAGGCCCCACCTGGACGCAGACGGGATCTAGGCGGGGGCACCCTGCGGTCTGCTTCCTCCCTGCCTCACATTGCTAAGACTCAAAAGTCCGGAGGCCGTGGTGCCAGCAGGAGCCCCTGCCTGTTGATGGCCCTGCGGCCAACCAACATGGACAGTGAGCGGGACAAGTTCTTCCAGTCCCGTTACACCTACAACCCACAGTTCGAGTACCAGGAGCCCATGCCTACGGCTGTGCTGGAGAAGTACTGTGAGGCCTCTGGACAGTTCATCCATCAGGTCAGTCCAGCCTGCCCACCTCACCCTGGCCCTGCCCACCCCAGAGGCCTGGCCTGACCACCCACTTGGGCCCTGTGTGCAGGCAGTTGGCATCATTGAGGCTGTCCTGGAGAAGTTTGGCACCTACGAACACTTTGAGGCCGCGACTGGGGGCCAGCTGCTGACCAAGTGCCAGATCTGGTCTATTGTGCGCAAATACATGCAGAAGGAGGGCTGTGTCGGGGAGGTGAGCTTGCCCTGCCTTCGAGCACCCTCTTCTACCTGACCCAAACTGGCCTGACCGGTGGGTGGTGCCAGGCCCAGCTACAGACCCCTGGCAAGCCCCTGTCCCTGCCCTAGTAAGGTGGGAACTGGCTCTGAGCAGAGATGGCGAAGGGCGGGTGTCCTGGCCACGTGTCCAGCCTGGATGCCCTGTGGCGTTATTGGTGGGTACACCTGCACACTGGCCCCAGGGCTGGTGGCCATGGCTCCGAGCACTGCTGCCGCCTGCAGGTTGTGGTGCAGCTGAGTGAAGACCTGCTGTCCCAGGCAGTGATGATGGTGGAGAACAGCCGACCAACACTGGCCATCAACCTGACCGGAGCCCGCCAGTATTGGCTGGAAGGCATGCTGCGGCACGAGATAGGTCAGGGTGTGGGTAGGTGGGTGGGCAGGCAGGGATGAGAAGGGGCTGGGAGGTGGGAGGACAATGAGGGGCCCCAGAAACCCCACCTCTCTCTTTCTCCCATTTACCTTTGAGGCTAGGGCCCTTTCCTTTCATGAGTAGTCACCTCCTCCCTCTGGCTCACAGAGGTAGGCCCAAACATGCCTGCCCCTCTCTGGGCTCACCCTCATCTCTCACTCCTCTTGGGTATCTTTTCCTCCCTCCACTTCCTCTCTGGTTTCCCTGGACAGTGGGGACAGGCTGTTGGGGCCTGGACAGGCCAGAGGGGAAACACTGAGGGTCTCGCTAGCCCAGCCACCATGCAGGCCCTCCAGGGTGGGAATGGAATTGGCCGAGGACACACAGAGCCAGGTAGAGGAGGGGGTAGGCCAGGCTGGAAGGAATGCAGGGGACACAAACTGCTATTCTTTTCTGCCTGTCCCTCCTCATCTAGAATTCTGTTGCCCTGGGTAGACGTTGGTTTTTGCTAGGGACATGAGCGGGACTGTCCAAACAATAGGGCATGCAAGATCCACATCTTGGGGTGGTGTGTGAGTTCCTGTCCTCTCCAGGGGGCTGGGAAGCAGTGTGAGTCTGGGAGAGGTGTGTGTGTGTGTGTGTGTGTGTAGTCCTGGATGGGTGGAGGAGGACGCTTGCATGTGAGACTCTATGGGTCCTTGGGTGCGGGTGCCCCTGAGGTTGGATGAGTCTGTAAGTTGGGACAGAGGTGGCAGGGAGAGGCTATGGGAGAGCCTGAGTTTAGGGGCATGAGGATACCCGCTTAGTACAAGTTAGAAGCCTGGCAGGAAGGTTCCGGGATGACCCGCCCAGCACCGCCTCCCTCGCCCTCCCCCAGGCACCCACTACCTGCGAGGCGTGAACAATGCCCGGCAGCCCTGGCACAGCGCCGAGGGCCGGCTGCAATACAGGTTGCGGCCAGCGAACCCCACCGAGGAGGGCCTGGCCAGCCTGCACAGCGTGCTGTTCCGCAAGCAGCCCTTCCTGTGGCGCGCGGCGCTGCTCTACTACACCATCTACCGAGCGGCGCACTTGTCTTTCCGCCAGCTCTTCCAGGACCTGGCGCGCTACGTGCAGGACACAGACGTGCGCTGGGAGTACTGCGTGCGCGCCAAACGCGGCCAGACCGACACCTCGCTGCCCGGTAGGTGCCCATTTGAGGAGTACCCTGAGCTGGGGCAGGGGCGGGGGTGGCTTCAGGTGTAGAGGCTCATGGCCCTCCCATGCCCACAGGATGCTTCAGCAAAGACCAGGTGTACCTGGATGGCATCGTGCGCATTCTGCGACACCGCCAGACCATCGATTTCCCGCTGCTGGCCTCGCTGGGCAAGGTGAGTGGCCACGGGCCTTCAAGAGGTTCCCAGCCAGCTCTCCTCATGGCAGTATTCCCTGAGCCTGTGATGGGTGCTTGACTGAAGACTGGTGCCAGGCCTCTCTGGTAGGTGGAGGTGAGCACAGGAGGTGAAATGACAGCCTGGCAGGTGCTTGGCCCAGCCTGCAGGTGTGTGTGTGTGTGTGTGTGTGTGTGTGTGTGTGTGTAGATACTGCATCACTCCAGACCAAAGGAGCAGTCAGGAAGGCTGGAGATGGAGGCTGGAGAAATGGCCAGGGACCAAGTCCCTAGCACTGGGTATCTGTGCCAAGCTGAGAAAGGTAAACTGCATCTGAAGCAATAGGGACTCAGAGGCGCTTTAAGCAAGTTGTGGCTGGATGTCAGATGGGAGGTGGATTGAGAGAGAGAGAGAGACCTAGGAAGGGGAATGGGGGGAGGGAGGCCTTTCTAATCACTCCTGCAGAACTGATGGTGTCTGGCCTAACCCAGCAGTGACCATGCAGTTGGAGAGGGAGGGGCAGGCAGGGGAGCTCTTCAGAGAGTGGGGTCCCTTGAGCTCAGTGGCCACCCTGAGTGGGAGGGTGACAGGTCCCAGCCCCCTCCCTGGAATCTGACCTAGAGGGCTGTCAGGAGAGTGCCTGGCATAATCTGACACCTAAGGATTCAGTGTTGGCTATGGGGAGTCTGAGGTACCTGTGGGCTGTCTGGGAGAAAGTGTTCAAAGGCAATTGGGGGAGCTAGGCTAGAGACAGGAGTGGGGTTGTAGGGCAGAGATGATAAAAGAAGGTGTTAAGAGAAAGAGCAAACACCCAGGACTGTGCCTCGGGATACATAACATTGGGAATGGGTCAGGAGGAGACAGAGAGGAGTTCCAGGAGCACGGGGCAATAAACCATTGGTAGAGAGCTGGGACCAGCCACCTGAAAGCCAGGGCCTCTGCCTACCCCTCAGCCCAGCTTCCTCCCTGCAGGTGTCCTATGAGGATGTAGATTACCTGCGGCCCTATGGGGTGCTGAACAATACTCGGGTGCCCCACTTCATGCAGGACCTGGAGCGCTACCGGCAGCAGCTGGAGCACATCATGGCCACCAACCGGCTGGACGAAGCAGAGTTGGGCCGCCTGCTGCCTAACTGATACTGGTTGGGGGCTCTAGACCATCCCCCTGAACAGGAAGAGGGCTGCTCTGTGCTTCCACAGCCTGGGTGTTTCTTGGGGAAGCTGAGGGGACAGGAGCATCTCAGGAGGGAGGAGTGGCAACATCCGTGGGTGTGTGTTCCCTGCTAGCCTCCCTGGACCTGGAGGCCAGCAGCAGCATGTTGAGCAAACAGTGTGCCCTCCTGCCTCTGTCTGTTGAGCAGAGGGGAAGCCTGGGGGCAGCAGGGAAGCTGAGCATGGATGGGGATGGGGGATGGTTTGGGAGTAGAAACTTGTTCTTGCATGAGATGACTTTGGGTATCTGCGTACTCCAGTCTCCCCTCCCCCACCCGGCCCCTTGGTGCTCCTTCAGCTTTCACGCTGTCTACCTCTCACTGGGTCCTGGTGGGGGTCTCCCTTCTTTTGGGGTGATTACCTGAACCTGGGGTCCTGGCTTTCACACAGACTCAAGGGACAAGGGTCCTAGTAGGTAGAGACCCAGCTGGGCTGGGATGTGCTTTCCAGCATTTTGCCTCTCCCACTGCATGTATTTATTCCCTATTTATGTGCTCTCCTTCCTGGGGCTGGAGGCAGCAGCTTCTGAAGGTTCAGGGACAGGCTCCTCTGGAAGGCACCCACTGTGCCTAGCCCCCATCTCAGCACACGCGCACACACACACACACAGTCCTTCAGGCCCTGTGAGCTGAGCCCGAGAGTTCACCAGGCCCTGCCCCTACCCCCACCCCCTCCTCAGGCCTCTGTTGTCCTCGTCTTTGTCCACACCCTCACAGCTGGTCTCTGACAGAGGTTGGCATAGCCTGGCAGCAGCCATAATCAAGCCTGAGGGGCAGACACCTACCTGTCCCAAATCCTGAGCCCCCCCTGGACCAGGAGAGGTGCAGAGATGGTTGTTGCTTCCAGTTTCACCTCAGACTCGCTGTCTGAGGTTGACCCAGGCCCACTCCCACCCTTGGCCTTAGTTTTCTCATCTGTAAAATTTGGAAATGCAGCTGGAAAGCCCTTATTCATTTAGTCAGTGAAATGCACCGAACGCCGTCTGTGTGCCAGTCACTGGTCAAGCCCTCACTGAGCTCCCAGTCCTGAGAGGAGCCAGACAATTAAAACAACAATTACAATAAGCTGTGTGGTCTTTGTCTACCCAAGATCCCTTCCTCTTCCTCTTAATCCCAGGGCCCTCAGCTCTAGCCCTCCCTACGTGGAGAGAAGTTCCCCTTCCCTGGCTTTCCATCCCAGGCCCAGGGGCTTCCATGGAATAGGGCTGGTGACAACACCTGCCCAACTGGTTCAGGAAGATAAAAGGGCCCAAGTCTGGCCCTTGTGTCACTGGACCCCTGGATTTGGGATCTCTAGGGTGCAGCTTGAGGCATTGATGAAATGAGGCTGAGGACTGGGTGCTGGGGCACAGGGCTACTCAGGTCACTGACTCAGAGCACAGGTCCATGCCTTTATTCCTGGGCAAAGGGCCGGAATCACCGAGAGCCCAGACCCACCCTCCACAGTTTATTCACTCCAGCGAATCCTGGGCCAGGTGGAGCCTGGGTGGTAATCCAACCCAGCCAGGCCGGGATCCCAGGTTCCATTGGGCTTGGATGGGGAGTGGCCAGTCAGGGCGCCGGCCCTCAGGAATCTAGAAATGAAGGGGGAAAGCGGTTGGTCAGGTGGGGCCTGCCCACTGCCCCCCGGGGCCACGACCTCCCGCAAACCTGGCACCGGGTTTGGGCAGCCTAACACCTTCAGACGCATCCTCTGCCTCGTAGTCTGGCTCCGGCTCAGGCTCAGGCTCTGGGTCGGGCTCTGGCTCCTGGACCGGTTCTGGCTCTGGCTCCTGGTCCGGCTCCGGCTCGGGTTCTGGTTCCAGTTCTGGTTCCAGTTCAGATTCTGGTTCTGCCTCCAACTCGGGTTCAGGCCCTTCAGAGGCCTCAGCTTCTAACTCTGTCTGGGGCCCCTCGATGGTTCCGGATTGCACTGCCTCGGAGCTCTCAGAAGCCCCGGCCTCCTCACTGTGTGAAGGTCTGGGCAGACCAGGGCATGGGGTCCCTGAGCCGGCTGCCTCCGGTGTCCAGTGGCCTGGGCAAGGAGGGTCGTAGCTGCGATCCCGGTAGCCTGGGGTGGAGGTGGGAGAGTCTCGGGCTCAGTTTACCCCTCTGCGGTTTCCTCCGCACGCATCATCAGGCAGCGCGTCCAACGCCTCGTACTCCGGCCCGGTGAGCACGCCCCGCGCCAGCAGCGCATCCAGCAGCAGCCCGGAGTCCGCCTGCAGCGTCTCTACCAGGCGTTTCCGTTCGCGGTCGATCGTCTCTGACGGTCTCTCCTGCGAGTTGCCCATTCTGGGGGGCCCCTGGGGAGGGGTAGAGAGGGACTGGGGGCATCAGGCAGCGCGTCCAACGCCTCGTACTCCGGCCCGGTGAGCACGCCCCGCGCCAGCAGCGCATCCAGCAGCAGCCCGGAGTCCGCCTGCAGCGTCTCTACCAGGCGTTTCCGTTCGCGGTCGATCGTCTCTGACGGTCTCTCCTGCGAGTTGCCCATTCTGGGGGGCCCCTGGGGAGGGGTAGAGAGGGACTGGGGGCCAGGGCTTCCCCGCCCTTGACCTCTCTCCCAGGGCTCCAGTGAACACCGGTGGCTGGGGTCCAAGTTCACCTTAACCCCCGGCGGCAGGACAGTCCGCAGCACCGACTCTGTACTCCAGCCTCTTGGGCCGGTTCAGTCCTGTCTCCTCCTCCGGCTTCTCCTTGGGTCCCTCAACATCAGGTGTGGCCCTCCCCTCCGCAACTCTCCCCGGACCTTTACTTTCTGACCGCTCTCCCCAACCAGGACCTCCCTCCTGAGCCCCAGCTGCCTGCAGATGCTGCCATTTGTTCAGACCCCGTTTATCCAAACGAACTTCTCTTTCCCAAACCCGCTTCCGCGCCTTAATAGGCAAAGATTCCCACACCCAGCTTGCAAGCCTTTCCAGTCTATCTGCTACTTCCACCTCCAGCCTAGACCTCAGAGCGCTGACTCCCCTCCTCACCTAGAGCACAGTGCTGAGATCCTCCCCTGCTCCTCGCACCCACCGGAGAATGGAGAATGACCACACCCCTTATCCTGACCCCGAGATCCATCTTTCAGGGCAGGGCCTGCCCCTGCACCCCCTCACCAAGGCCACTACCATGTTGCAACCCCGATGTGGTCTCATGGCCCTTCCTGGTTCCCTGATCCCTGAACCGAGATACCTGAATTCTCTTTAATCTTAGCTCTGACCAAGATCTCCCGGCATCACCTGCGACCCAGCTGTCTCCCTGCTGCCCTGGGAATGACTCACAGCCATCTCTTGCTTCATCTTGGAGTACCCAGGGCCAAACTCAAAAAAGCTACCAACCATTTACTTTTAAATGCTTGCCGAACTTTTACCGTTTTCCTCCATGCATCACATGAGAGATTGTTTCTACCAAACAGCAGGTGTCAGGCAGAAATGAATCTGCTGTGTCTACTTATTGACATCTGAGGACAATGGCCCATCCCTCTTGGATGGCCTGACCCAGCAGCCAGGCCCCTGGCCTTAAGAGGCACAGAGGTCAGGCCCTGGACCACTCCCTCAGCCTATTTCCTCCAGCCTTAGTTTTGTCCACACAGCACCCTCCTGGTCTCATCCTCCCTTTGGGTCCCCCTCCTCTACCTCCTTACCAGGTCCTAGGTCTGGGAAAGCAGATTTGGTCCCAGCCCCCTCCGGCCTCCCGGGTCTCTCTCTCATGACCACCTGGTGTCATGCTATGCCTCCCTGGTCATATTGAAGCGTCAACCCTTCCCCCAGGTAACTGATCAGAGACTAGGACCACTACCCCTTACCCCTCCTTCTCCATTCATGCCCCACCTGTGACATATGCTGCTATCCCACCTCTCAGCGAGTCTCTATCAGCACCCCCCTCAACCCCACCATCCTCGCCTCATCTCCTTTGACAGTCTCTCTGAGTGCCTCTCACTCCCATCTCATCACCCCCACAGCACAGAGATGGTCAACAGCTCTCTGGGGCAGGATTCATTGTCCCCATTTCACAGGTGAGAAGACAGGATCAGAGAGACCAAGGCACAGAACTGCAATCTGACTTGCTCCAACCTGAATTACAATGAGGCCTCCTGCCCAGGGGAATGTCAGCCCTAACTACCTGGCCCCTGCTCCCCACTGCCCATCAGAGAGAATTCAGACTATCTGGCCTGGCCACTCTCCCACCTCCTGGACAGAGAGGCTTCCCCCCACTTTCCCCAACCCTCAGTGCTAGGAGAATTAAGCCCCTGACATCTCTGAACCTTAGTAGATGCTATTCCTTTAGCCTGAAATACCCTTCCCCTCCCTCCAAGCTGTGGACCCATCCTCCAAGTCTCAAATAAATGTCACCTCGTCCACGCCAAGGCCTGAGTGTGTGATAGGCGGACTGGTTTCATCTCTTCTCCTGTGTACCCCAGAGAACGGTGTATGCCCACAGCACGACGCTAGCTGACATCTCTGCACACAGACCCCTACCCTCCTTAGCTGAGGTTTCCAAAGACTGTCCTCCAAGTGCAAGAAGGGAGAGGGGACAGAACCTACGCTTGTACAGGCGCAGAGGGAGGAGGCAGATCGGACTAGCCCCTCATCCTCCCTCACTCCTAACCAAGTTATTTTTATGTTAGCCTCCTCCTCCCATTGCCAAGTCCTGTCCTTGTAGGCCCTCCCTCTGAGACTCAAAGCTCAGAAGTAAATACTGTACCTAAGTTATGCTGCGGCCAGTCCTTCAAGGGTCACGGCCCGGTCCTTCCCGGGCACCAGGCGGCTCCAAGTTCCAGGCCTGGAGGGGGGGGCGGGGTCTCGGCCCCCCTCCCCACTGGCTCCGCGGGCTCTTTTGCTCGGGAGCGGGAGTTGTGGAAAACTGCGGGAGCCTTTGGCAGGTGCGACCACAGACTCCCCTGATCTCCCCTCCACCGGGTCCCAGGGTTAGGGTCTCGCCGAGGGGCGGGGCTCAGACCTGGGAGCACTGCCCGCGGGGGCTCGGATTCTACGCGATCTCAGTTTTTCTCCCTCCCCCAGGGGCTCCGTGCGGCCCCACTCACGGGTGGAGCCTTGGCGGGGTAGATGACAAGGCAGAAAGGGATGGGCGGGGCGGGGTGGGGGTGGGGGTAGGAGCAGCAGCT